TAAGTTTCACTAGAATAGCGTAATTCACATTAAACCACTCCAAACAACTTTGTTTACATCTTAATGATTTAATTATGCAGAATTTTTTCTGAATCAGTGGAATTCCCTAAAACTATAAGTTAACTAACGACAAATCACATAAAGCAAATGACTTTTTTTCTTTAAACAACATATTAGAAACTTCAGCTATCATACATTCCCACTAGGCTGTATGTCTGCCAGTGGCTACTGTTACCCTGCCAGTGGGGTGTTATCTTCCAAAGCAGCAGCATGACCCAAAGGGGCTGGAAATAGTTCTGTCACAGGCTGTCCAGAGGAAAGACCAGCCAGCTGTCCATGTACATACTCTACCCTCGACTGCAACACACACTCTACCAGGAACACACACACACACACAAAAACCTCACACACTACATACTGTCATTCTTGTGCGCACCTATCACCCCGCTCCAAGCAAGCTACGGTTCCAAGTAGCAATCTGATATTTTTAGAAGTGCACTTCACTACGTCGACTGGCATTATTGTGACATTCAGGGGGGACATAATGAGCATCTGGGGCTTTTAAGCATTATGGAGTGAGAGGTTTACAGAAAATATCACTTCAGGTGCTTCCATTCATGATTCACAGCAGCAGAGCTGGACTGCAGAAGGACGATCAATTATAGTCAGAGCAGCATTAAAGCTTAAACAAGGCAGTCTAAAATAAATAATGTTACACTATTATGAAATTCTTTACAAAGTGGCCAGTGTCATTAAAACTGCCTTACTGTTTGACAATTTATCTCATGGTATATTATATCTCTATACATCACACTACGCATTTGTTTTCTCCCATATCCTTCACTTTTCACTGTACTGCTGCTGCTGCCTAACAGGTTTTGAAACAGGTTTTTCAGTAGATAGACATCTTAATAAACTGTGCACAAAGAACAGGATATCTTGTGTTCAAGGATGATCTTTTGCTTCTATCCTCTATTATATACAGAACGTCTGCCGCGAAAATCTTTTCTCTGCAGGCATCTGCCAGCAGTCTTCTTTGCTTGCTACTCCAGTAACGTTCTACCCTCACCAAGATGAAGTTTCCCAAACTCAGCAACAGCTTGTTTTATTCTGTATTAGGCTAAGGCCATCTTCATACAGAAAACTGCCACAGTGTACGGGTCGACATTGCCTATTCATTTAACATTTTATATTTTGTCCAATGTAGTGTCCAATGGCCTTTTGACAAGCCACAAGATCAACTAAATTTTCACATAACACAAACATCCACCATTAATAACAAATAACTACTTTTCACCATCCAGCGCCACATCCAGGGCTTACCTGCTCAAAAACAGAACTGCACCAAATCAGATTTTGTCTAATTTGCCAACAATAACGCTAATAATAACGCGTTTCTTCACAGCCTGTAGTGATGGCTGGGTTACTTAAACATGGCCAGTGGCAGTGCAGACAATAAAAAAAAGAATATGGCAACAATGATGAAATAAATTAGAAAGTGAAGGATGGAAGAGAAGAAGAAAGATGGGGCGTTCGGTCAAGCATGTCACCTGGTTCCACGACATATAGATGCCACAAATTCACTCTTCACTGGGAGTAACTTGTTCAGAAAACACAATATTCAAAAGCATGGTTGAAGCTTTTAACCCATAGTAAAATGATCTTCAGAGATCCTGACTGATGAAAATCTACTGAAGATGGGGTGAGTCAGCAAGAGCAAATGATAAAAATCTTCAGTCTGGCTGATTATATCACAAAAAATGAAGATCGCTTCTATGGATACTTCAATATAGGAATTGTGAGCTGGTGCCCAGGTCTGACATTTTTTCATGTACAAATCTGCCGATGCCAATACATAAACATACATACATAAACATATATCTAATTCAGTGGTTCCCAGCCCAGTCCTCAGGGCCACCCAAGACAGTCCACATTTTTCTTTTACCCCTATAATTTGTGATTTAGGTAAGAGTAAAAACGTGGACCATCTGAGGGGCCCTGAGGACTGGTTGGGAACCACTGATGATTCCGATATTACTGTGCATCTATAATCCATTTACGTTACTCTCTGGTTTGACTAGTATAATGAAAAAAATTGAGTAGACAAGGCTGGACTAATAGCAAAAAGCAACACCTGACTGGTGCTTCATATTGAAGCATGCTTTTTAATTGTATAGACAATTCGTCTCTCTTTTTTTCAAAGTTATTTTCCTTTTGTAGGGTTATTTTTATGAGTCATTATCCAGAACATGTGGTTAGTTAAGTAAATAAATTATTGTGGCCATCTGAAAAAAGGGAATGTGGTTACTATAATCAAACACAAACCCTATGAACATATTTCTATCATTCTGACCACAAATTCTTAATTTTGGCCACAAAATTCATTTGCCTGGTGGCCTGAGTGGCCACTGGCCAGGGCATATTTTTGTATCTGTCTACTCCTGATAATGGTATAACCAGAGCTATACAATGAAATAAAGCAGTTGTTGGCCTGCAGACTGTCCGAGAACAGTTTTCTCTAACATAAAGTGGCCTATTCAACCCAACCACTAGGGAGTACAAGCATACGCACACTGATTCTTTTAGCCTACACACAAACTGGAGACATCCACCACGCCCTGTCACTCAAAAGAGAACAGAATTGCAAAATTTCCCATGCCACTCGAACACGTGCCTCGTCGTCTCACTCTTGAACAAAACAAGCTTGTACGAGCAGAACAATTAAGTTAGCAAGTTGACTGAAAAAGTCTGACATCTAACAAGCTGAGGCTAGTCTCTTTCCCCTCCCTGTTGTTATAAAGTGAAGTTAAGAGAAATACGTTGCTATACAAACATCTGTTTTACCCTTTCAGTAACACCCTTATAGCAGTATTGCACAGGATCATCGCTCAGCCACACTGTTTCTGTGAGAAACAATTTTCTGTCTATTGTGAGAACAATAGCATGTCAAACGTTATAATTAGCTGCAGAGTATAAATAATGAATGTCTGACAGATGAGGCTGTAAGAACAGTATAATTACTCAGGGCCTTTTACCTTCTCATAACTTACTCAAACACATCATCTAAAAACCCTGCCTATAATGGATTACTGTAATGGACAGACTTAGAAAAATGAAAATATGTCATAAACCACTATTCTTTTTGGATGTTTTTGTACCTCAAGAAGTTTGCTGGTCCTTCACTGGAATGTACTGAAGTCACATCCTCTCTTCCTTTCATAGTTATTTTCCTTTTGTAGGGTTATTTCTATGAGTCATTATCCAGAACATGTGGTTAGTTAAGTAAATAAGTTATTGTGGCCATCTGAAAAAAAGGGAATTTGGTTGCTATAATTAAACACAAACTCTGAGAAACATTTTTCATTACATTTTTTACAACATGATACTCCTTGACATAGTTAAACTAACTGTATTTACCAGAACGCCTCAGACATATCAAAGACTTAATGTTCTTGTCGTGAGACCAGAAAAATGGGCAGCGTGCCCTCTTTGAAAAGCCAGCCTGGGAGATGAGCGTTGTCCGGGATACACACAAAGCTTTGGTGGGAGCAGTGGCATTCAAATCACAGAGGGAATCTATGGAAAGTGCTGGGGCAGGAGCAACAGGGAGCGTGGCCGATGAATCACATTTCACATTGTGGAAAACTCTGTCTCATCCTTTATTAGATGTATAACTCACCCCTGGACTGCACTGTCTGAAGCTTTGGTTGACTTTGCAGCCCCCGCACATAAGAAAAGCAGCAACAGAGCAAAGCCTTTAATTAACATTACCAGCTTGTGGGGGGCTCACATAAATTCTGCTCAACTGAAGCCCTGCTCTTCAGACAGACTGGGTCTCAATAAGGGCGTTTTCATTTGACCTGCCTGTTGGCCATTTCTTTATGTAGGTGCCAAGACCTACCCGAGTTGTTATCTAAGCCCTGCTATATAAACAATAGCCGACTACCCTGGTCCACTTCTCATTTAGATATGCGCACCAGCAGGAAAAGGGTAGTCCAGCACATGCTAGTACACGTTTCCATGACAGTCTGTGTGTCCAGCATGAAGGAGAAGACTCTTATGAGCAGCGCTGTCTGAGTCACTGGGGTCCCTCGTGTTGTCGTAGGTGTTTATGTTCATTGTCTTGTATGCCGAGTCTATCCTGCGTGACAGACAGTGCGGGAGTCAACAGGGAAAGACGTCTACAGGTTCACAACAACGGAAGCCACGTAGCTATGGTGCTTAAACACAAATGAAACCCACTTGTCACGAAAGCTGCCCCTCTGTTTTACCTCAGCAACAGCCGCTGGCTTTCCCTTAACCTCTATTGAACCAACCTGAAGCCAAAAAACTCGCTCTCTTCGTGTCGGTTGGAGCGCACGGCTCTCTGAGGGCTGGAGAGATGCGAGCCACTAGATCGGGAGTCGCGTGACACGGCACGCTAATTTCACGCACGCGTTCACCACCACAGACTGGAAACTGAGCAGGAATGTGAGGCGTCTAGGTCAGTTAAACCCGTTTTGACCAAAAAGAGATGGACTAATGATAATTTGTGACGAACTAGTCCGGTCCCGAGAGCCATTTCTCTATAGAAATGCATCGACGGACAGTGAGCGCGCTCGGCTCGCCCCCCTCAGTGTGCCCACTGAGGCACAGCGTGGACCAAACGCACAGTTTTACATGTAAGCTAACGTTGATGAAATGAAGCGGTTAGTCTGAAATATGTCGCCTGGCCCGTATAACCCAGTTTATTTCGACTGCGGAAAGTCTTAGTCACAGCCAAGTCACAGACTGTCTAATATAATCCCGTTTACCCTCAGAAACTACAGCCTGCTCGAGCAGAACGACACCAAGACATCTGCCCGCCAGAACGCAGTGAAAACAGTGGACACAGTGGAGACTCCTTACAGAAGCGCAGTGAGTCCCTCAAACGAGTCGAGTCGTCTACGAAAACTGAAAATCTGCCTACAGGCTGTTAAAATACTGATGAGCGTCTAGAAAGAAAGCAACGTCTTACTCACCAGCGTGAGAGAAACTAGTCCGAAAAGAGCGAGGCTGTCCGGCCCGGAAACTTGAACAGAAAACGGAGCCGCTCGTGCGCTCAGGTAGCGTTGGAGCCGTTGGAGAGAGCGCCGAGATTCCAGCACGCGCCTGTAAACGCTGCCTTCAGTCAGGCGACCATGTTGTCCTGACTGCTGCTGCTCTCCGCATCCGGGCGCTTTCCTGGTGGAGGAGGGGGGAGAAGAGGAGGAGGAGGGGGGAGGAGAGGAGGAGGAGGGGGGGCGACTACCCCCCTCCACAGAGAGAAAAGACATGGTGGGAACTCGGTGCGGAATGAACGACTCACTCCATTTTATTATCAAACATGAACCGCGAAACTCTATGAAACCGCGAGCTCTCGTGGACGTGTAGGTCTGTCTCGCGCGGAGCTTTATAACTTAGTTAACGCTCATGGATTATTTGTGGTTAGCTAGCACTGACTATAGGCTTCCGCTAGCACAGCCTCTCAAAACGCCCGCACTTCGTGTTGTTATGGGGAAACATACAGACTACTGCGTGTGTCGTGGTGGGTGAATCGAAGACTGTAGAACTGTGTTTTTTCCCTTTCCGTGACTGTTTGTCGCCATTCATTTCCCGCTAAGGAATCGTGGAAATCACCGCGGCGTTGGTGCGTTCATAATTGTGGTTATATGTACTGGGCCTACACGTGTGCTATTACATTATAAGCCTAGAGCCCACTGTTACATAAGAGATGATATGCAGGCAGAGTGGCCACATGCACGCAGCGTGGAGCACGTTCAGGAAGAAATATCAGGCAAGGACACTGGGGCGAAGGTACCAGCTGCGAGATCGCAATAAACCACACTTGGACTACACAGGCCGAGGAAAATAATGGCTTTGACCGTGTCGCAGAAATTGAAGGCGCTATACACTGTAAAACATAATATCTGCAATAACTTGTTGGAGTAACTTATAGTTACTGAGGTTAATTTAGACAAGTCCCACAAAGCTTCCCAGCATTTTTGGCGGTTTTGTTGGTTTCTCATAATTAAGCCTTATTGTATAATAAAAATAATTCTGTTTCCTAAATGTTAGTTTTGTGTCACAGTATACTCTCATGTTAAATGTGGACTTTGCATTTGACATGTTTTCGTTATTCTCACCATGATGGTGTTTTGTGTTCAGGTTTAGCATTTCAGCCTGGAGCCGTGAGGGCTGACTGAAGGGCAGCTATGCCGCAAGCTATTGGAGTTCTCAGAAATGGGTGATTCTAGTCTTATCTAAGCCTCCAATTCGTTACTGTACAGAACAGTCCATTTAATGGAAGTTTTTTTTTAATTAATGGCAATACATCACACAAATATTTGATTCACCTTATCCTAGCTAATTCAAGAACAAGCAGAACTTTAATAAGTGGAGTACTGCCAGCTCAGTGGAAACCATCTATATAATTACTGGGCTATCTGAGATAAGCTTACTTGCTGCAGAAGTGTGGATCACTGAACAGTGGAAAGTAACTATAACTTATATATAAAGTTATTCAAGCTTGAATCTGTTAAGTAAAATTTTTTCGAAGTAGTAAGTTTGCATTTTTTTAAGTAAAGTCAACTATTTTAGTTTTACAGTGTATAAGTATTTGAAATACAATAATGACTTGGATAGAAATGTATCCCGTGTTATGTCCTAGAACATATCATGGTTATCTGTACTTGAAGAACAATAACATGTCATAGATAGATAGCTAGATAGATAGATAGATAGATAGATTCAACTTTATCGTCATTGTTCAGTACATGTACAAGGCAACGAAATGCCATTAGCATCAACCAGAAGTGCAAATAGTAGCAATAGTGCAAAACAGACAGTGCAAATGTTTAATAACAGGCATAAATATAACATCTCTGAAATATATAACTATATGAACGATATATACACAATTACAAATATATATGAATATGATATATACATAATATATATACGGTTTGTTACATACACAATATATACGGTATGTTACATACTGTTAGAGTAAGCAGTTGTATTCTGTGTACAGTGTTGTATGGAAACACAAGGGATAACAATAAATAAATCTCTTTGACAGACAGTTTGTAGGCATGTTTGGCTGTTTGAAGATTTCAAAGAGCATAGTCCTGTTTACTTGGATATAGTGCAGTGTAGTAATTGAAATGTTGAATAAAAGTACTTTTACTCAGATTTTATTTAAAAGATTTTTTGAAATATGGCACTTCTGGCACATTGTGTTATCAAACCTCGAGAAAACCTAAATATCGTGATACATATTGTTTTGAAAAAGTGAATGTGATATTTTTTGCTGTATCGCCCACCCCTAATTCAAATAGGCTGATCCTCACCTGCACTTTAAACACCATTCAGCCTGATCTGTTCTTCACCGGTCAGCATGTCCCTCTTCATGTTTCTGAACAGCCCTTTTTAATCCAAGTGCAAGTCCTGACCTGTCACTTGAAGATGACTCCTTCTTAGTGTCTGCTAGTTTTAGAGAGCAAAAGAAATTATTGTACAGTTCTTTTATCATTGTCATTATACTGTTGATCAGTTTTACTCCTGTTTTTTAGAAAAAGCAATACATTCATATGATTTAATGGTGATTTTACCGTGGAGGTATAAGAGGCATCATAAGGATTGAGGGCACTGTTTTACAGCCACATATCGAATGATCAAATAATACATATATGTGTCATAACCTTGACACTGCCATTAATATTGAAAAACTCCTGATTTAGGTAAATGTGTGATAAACACATTTATTTAAGATCTGCCAGACACTGTTGACATGTAGGCATTACCCTTTCTTCCTAAAGGCTGTTCGTCTGATGTTGCATTGTCTCTAGACCTTACAAAGCGATTAGATATCATCTGTGTGAAGTAGCCGCTTACAAATCCTTGTAAAGACCTACTAAGCTTTTATGTATGTTTTTCCCAAAATAAATTTATCGTCCCTTTAAAACAGGGGATTAACACTGTGCAAGGCACTGCATGCTGCAACATACCTGACATTTGGTCTAAAGCCAAAGCATGGTGGCAAATTTAGTAACACTCATGTTTGCACCTTGTACTGTATACCATTACATTCTTCAGGGATAAAAAATATAGATGTCTGAAAATTATGCTGTCTTTTTGACCTGAAATGAACCCATTTAGAAGCATAAACACTGTAAATATTTTTTTCAATACTTACACAACAGAAAAGAACAAAACAGATTTTGTTATTTTGAAAATGTTTTATGCAACAGTAATATGTTTTTTGATTTACCATCCAGATCTCAGTACAAAAATATATGAAATGTCTCAAACTCTGCTTGTATTGTGGCCTGTCTAGGCTAAATCCGTAAGATGAAAATAAAATGGCCTTTTCCCCTCCGGCTAACCTCTAGGGAAAGACACCAAATAGCTTATTTAACAATAAATCAGTGTGGATTTATTTGTATTACTTCTTGTCTCTGTTTTCTTGTAAAGGGAATAAGAGCTTCAGGGACGAGCACATGCCGTAAGTGCTAAGAATGCTTTTTATGATTGTTGCACATTAAAGTTTGTGCCTCTGAGCACTGTTCTTCGGGAATCACTTTGTAGTTGAACAATGACGCATTGTCCTCACAAGAGGGCGACAAAATGCAATAAAGGTGGCTTGTGGGTTGTGGATGTCAGGGCTACCCATACATGCTCTTAGAGGTGTATACATTGAAGATTATGGGATAACACAACTGATTTATCCAAATATGTTTGTGATCTAAGTATTTGAACCAGATATGTTAGATAGGGTTGGGATTATACATTGTTGGACAGTGGAGTTCCAGGAGCAGGCTTTGGGACCCCTGGTGTACATAATAGGATACTACACTTCTATCATCTTAGAACATTGATTCCCAACTTTGGCCTCAAAGCAGCCCTGCCCTGCCTTTCCTGCTCCAACACACCCACCGTAGGAAGGGCTTGTTAATGAGCTGATTAGTTTGATCCTTTTTGTGCTAGAGCAGGAAAAAACACCCAAATATGCCACTTCAGGACCAGGATTGAGAACCACTGTATTAGAAAGACCTACATCATCATAGAGAAATGTAGAAGTCATGTATTATTGCATGCGGTGAAACTGAAAACAAAGCTTAGGGCTCAATATTTTTTGATCAGCCTAGTAGCCTTCTAAATAATAGATAATCTTTACCTTCTTTGTCTATCCGAATGCCTCCCACCAGCACATCCTACAGCAGTGGTCACCAACCCTGGTCCTGGAGATCTAACTTCCTGCGAACTTCTGACCATATTCTGCCACACCATTATTACCATCTTCAGAAGTCATTGATTGGCTGGATCAGGTGCGCTAGTGTTAGGTGAAGGCGGGTCATGTTAGATGTGGGTTGGAACTAAATTCTGCAGGAAAGTAGATGGGTTAGTGACCCAGGGGTGACCTACTGCTGTGGTCCCACTGCAAAAGGCCAGGCGAATGGGTAACTTAGCATTGTTTGTAAATGGCATCCATGAGGGAGTGTTGGCTGGGATACACACCAAGATTTGTTGGAGCAGTGGCATTCAAAGCAAGAGTTTGAGGAAAGTGCCAGTTCATGGGCAATGGGGAGTTTGCCCAGTTAATCACTTTTTAAAACTGTACCTTTATTAGGTATGTAATTCACCCCAGACTGGACTATATCCAGTGGTCCAATTTAAAAAAACTAAATTCAAATGATAGTGGGGAAATTATTGTCTCTCAGGCTCTTAAGTACCTGAAGTCATCCTGAAGTCAAAATTACAACCCCATTTCCAAAAAAGTTGGGAAGCTGTGCAAAATGTACATAAAAACAAAATGCAATGATATGCAAATCATTTAAACCCTATATTTCATTAAAATAGTTCAAAGACAACATATCAAATGTTGAAACTGAGAAATTTTATTATTGTTTGAAAAATACATGCCCATTTTGAGTTTGTCACCAACAACACGTTCCAAAAAAGTTGGGACAGGGGGCAACAAAGGACTGGTAAAGTTGTGTAATGCTAAAAAAAACACCTGGTGGTTGATTGCCAACAGGTCAGTAACATGATTGGGTATAAAAAGGCAACTCAGAGAGTCTTTCAGAAGTAAAGATCAGGAGGGGTTCACTACTCTTTGAAAGACTGCACGAGCAAATAGTGCAACAATTCAAGAATAACTTTTCTCAACATAAAATAGCAAAGAACATTTGCTTTTCATCATCTAC